GGGGGTAAGGGCAAAGGGTGGTGTGAGAACCGGGTGGAGCGGAGCTATGGGGGGAAAAAAGAGGAACAACTGTAATAATCTGAACAATAAAGATTAAAAAAATTCAATGAAAAAAAAAAAAGAAAAGAAAATTAAATACAGTTCAACAGTTTGGGCAACTTACAGTCAGTCTGTGAATTGCAAGACCTTATCTTCCCTCACCAAGGACGCTAGAGAGCAGATGGTTCATACCCAGAGAACACCTAGCTTCCCTCACCCTGACCTGGGACAACAGAGGACACAGACACTATGAACGCCATGTGTGCCAGCTCAAGCCAGGGACAGATGGAAGTGGGTAACAAATAACAAAACCCCATTAAAGCCAGACAGACCTAAGATAACAGTACAATAGACCAAAGAACAATCCAAATCTCCCATCTACACTTATTTTGATGCCTCAGCATATTAAAAATGCACCTGGAACGCTGATGAATATTCTGCTGAAACCCTCCCCTAAGATTTTCACCTGAAGAAAAAAGGATAAAAAGCCCCCAGGACAAGCCGCCAGGACAGACTCCCTCTAGGACATGATCATGCCCCTTCTCAGGCGTGAACTTTCTTTCTAAGGGTCCCCACGAGACTCGCAACCAGGGGAGCCCTGGGCAGTAGCAACTCGACCCAGGCTCATGCTCTGGCCCTGTCTCCAAGGCCCCCTTTCCTCTGACTTCCCAGGGAGCCACAGCAGCCCTGCCCGGCCCACTTCCATCACTGTGACTTCACTTCCTAGTGAGCTGACAGCCCAGGCTCACTCCCTCCTAAAACATTCGGGAGAGCTAAAACAGAGCGCTGCCTAGGCTCTCCTGTCGCTGCTGCTACCCCAAGTCCTTCCTTCGTGTCGCTGTCCCTAGCTTTCATAAACACTCTCAAACCCATCCGGACTCACGGTGTGACATCTTCCCTACGTGAAGTCAAGAACCCACACGCTACAGGCCGGCAGTCTGGTAACACTGGGATTAGTAACTCATCCTGCTTGAGCAAAAATTGGTTGATGTGAATTGCCTACTTTTACAGCAAGTACTCATTATCCAGCTCAGTAAACAGGATAATCCAAAGAATGAGAAGACTGCTTTTTTCCAATTTTAAAACTGATTGTATCAGAGTGCTAAGTGAACATTCTTGCTGTGTTTTCAGTCTTAGGGTGCTCATGACGTCTTTCGCCATTATGTTTGCTGTAGGCTTTATATATATAAGCAGATGCCACCGATCAGGCTGCGATAGCTCCTTTCTTTCCCTAGTTTCTGACACTTTTTATGTATATGAGTGTGAAATGTGGATATAAACATGGGGCTTTTCTTCTTGACATTTATGAATTCATGGGTAACATTTATGAAATAAACCCTACTTGTTCATGGTAGTCTTTCTAGCTATTCCTGGATTCGATCTGTGAATATTTTGTTGAGGATTTGTGTTTCTGTGTTCATAAGGGATATTAGTTTCTTGTACTTTTTCTGATTTTGGTATCAAGTGTAATAATAGTTTCATAAATAGAATTGGAAAAAGCTCCTACTTCTATATTCTGAAAGAAATTGTATTGAATTGATGCTATTTGTTTTTTTAAATTTATTTTTTAATTACAGTTTGCATTCAATATTATTTTCTGTTAGATTTAGGGGTACAGGAGAGTGGTTAACCAATCATATACTTTACAAAGCATTACCTTGATATTTCCAGTACCCACCTGGCACCATATAAAATTATTACAATATTATTGCCTACGGTGCACTTTACAAGAATTGATGCTACTTCTTTTGGTAGAATTTATCAGTGAAATTGTCCTGGCGTGGTGTTTTCTCTCTTTTTTTTTTTTTTGAGGTTTTAAACTATGCACTTTCATTTTGCCTTTACATTGGTTAGTATGTGTCACCTATTTTTAATTTATGGTCACTCTGGCTGGAGGCTTACCACTTTTAATCATTTTTCAAAGAATTAGCTTTTGGTTGCGTTCACTGATTTTTCTCTGTTGTGTTTCTGTTTGCAGTTCCTTTTCTTGTTTTTGTTAACTTAAATGCTGTTTGCTCTGAGTTTATTTTGCTCTTCTTTTCCTAATTTATTGAGACACAAACTTCAATTATTGAACTGAGACCTTTTCCCATTTCTAATGTAAATATTTAAGACTATAAATGCCCACGGAAACACTGCTTTCGCTGCACCCACAGGTTTTGATACGTTGTATTTTCCTTTCATTTAGTTTAAAATATTTTCTAATTTCTTCTGCAACTTTCATCTTGACTGATGGGTTTGAGAGAAGTGTGTTGTTTAATTTCCCAATGTTTATAGAGATATTCCTATTATATTTCTGTTATTAAATTATAGTTTAATTTCATGATGATCAGAAAACATACTCTTCATTATGTTAAATCTCTTAAAACTGTGAATGGTGTGTCTTGGTGAATGTTCCATGTGTCCTGCTTTTATTGGGTGCATGCTCTCTAAATACCAGTTAGATCTAGTTAGTAGTTTGCAGTTCTTTTATTAATAATTTTCTGTCTCTGTGTTCTATTGATCACTAAAGGAGTAATTGGTTGGTTACCAACACAACTGAATGAGCATATGTTGTTTTGAAGCAGAGACCCCTGTATTTATTTTTATCTGAGGGGGTAGTGGAGTTCTTAATTGAGAAGAGGGTGCCTCTTCTGTAAACTCAGTGTTCAGGGAAGTGTGCGGATTTAAGGTTGCAGGGTTACTAACTCAGATGTCTCCATCTAATGAATTAGGGCACCGCTCTTCTAACAAGAGGTGTGGTCTTGGCAGAGCAGATCTGCCTTGGTTGAGAGTTTGATCTTCCTGGAGCTCATCTAATCTGAAGGTTAAACCTTGATCTGAGCACTCAGTTTTCTCTGCCCTTTCATGGCAGGAAATGCTACCAAAGAGGCTCTTTGACTCTCACACTTGGCTTTCAATTTCTTACTAATAACTCTCAGCCTTTCATCCTATGAAGGAAGGAGCTTACCAATAACTCATATCCCCATTGTTCTTTCAGTTGCTATTTCCCCCATTTTTAAAGAATACTTGACTTATCGCATCAGACATGCTTTCTGTTCCTCTGGTGTATTATCCCAGTTCAGAACAGATAAAAAGTTTTACAATTGGACCATTATTTTGTGCCAGAGGTTATTATTCTTCCTTTACCACCAGTGATGTGGGCCTCACTAAAATCCTGTGTATTTTATGTGATTGTGTATTTTCTCAAACCTCTCCTGGTACTAACTGTTGCAGGTGGACTTCCTTTGGTACCAACACCTGTGGAAGGGAGAAAAAAATCAGGAGTAGGCAAAGGATAGAAATCAAGCTATGATGAAGGTCAAATGACATCCTCAGTTGACCCAGTGGGAAGTCCTAAAGTTGTTTGAGTGGCATTGAGATGAGCAAACATTTTACTTCTGCATCTGTGAGTGACTGGATGCAGGTCATCTGGGAAGAGTATCACCTTGGGAGAGGAGGATCTCTGCAGCTAGAGCATCCATGAAGACAATGACAGCTGAAGGGGTCTGAAGACAGAGTTCCCGAGAAGCTGGGGGCACCAACTCCACTGAACGGGGATCTGGACAGTGCACTCTACCCTTTGATTTTCTGGGACATATACAGCAGCCACAGAGAGAATGTTTGATCCTAGCATAAAGTACCAAGAAGTCCTTTTGAAACAAAGTGAAACACATGTACATGGATTTTAGATAGATTAGATTAGGGATGAAACTTAAAAAAGAAGTTAAGGACAAGTCTCAGATTTCTCTATTCAACAAATATATAATTGATGGTGTTAGTTATTAAAATAGGGAACATTGGGAGGTTTTGTGGCAGTGGAAGAAGAGGATGTTAATAAGCAACAATAGCGCTCCTACTAAAACCCAGCATTTATTACTTATTATGTGCCCTTCACAGGTAATTAACCTTCTTAATAACGCCATGAAACAGATCTATTATGACCTTACTTTAGTAATTGAAATACATGAAGAAATAGTGGCCAAAAATTTCTTAAATTTCATGAAAAATATTAATCTATACATCCAATAATTTAAATGAATTCCAAGTAGTTTAAACACAAAAAGATCAACAAGATGAACAGCTAGCTCCTCATGAAATCTGGGCTCCATGTCACAGAGACAGTAGGGTCTGAAGGGCAGTGGTGTGATGTGCCCTCAGGTAGGAAAGAAACATCTGTCAGTGAAGATGTAAGATGTTCACTTTTTATAGTTCATGAACTGTTTTGTACTTCTCATTGACAAGGGTGACTTTTTCTTATTTTGGAATGTTAAAAAAGTGAGATTGAACCTTTGGCTTAGGAAATTCAGTTTATTTTGATTTAAGGATACCACGGTTAAACAAACTAGTTTATTAGATAACTATATGAAGATTGAGGCCTTGGCCTAATGTAAGTATTACTCCTTTGCTTGGCCATGTTTTCTTCTGTATTCAGTAGTAGTGTCAAAAAGGGGAAGAATTTAGAAGCCAAATAATCTTATAATTTTACCATGAAATCTCCCTCCATACTCATTATATTTCTTTTTATCACATTTACTTCTGAAGTGTGACATGGTTCAGGGGCTACTGTTCAAGATTAGGAAAGTCAGGGCAGGAAAAAGTCTCAAGGTAACATTCACATGTTTAATTCTAGGCACCAGGAAATAAATCCTTTCTTTTTCATGTTGCTCAAAACCTTAAATTTATTCTTGTTGCCATATCTTAGACCAGGTATCCTGTTTACAGTAGTAAGATATGATGGGCTTTGGTGTAAAAGTAGGTAGAACAGCACTTTTGACTTGTTATAGAGTTCTAGTCATTAGTTAGCAACACATAAGAGGCAATTGAAGTGCAGGTGGAATGCTAATCATACTAGTCACAACTCCAGTTGGTACCAAAGGCCATTATGGTCTCAAGATATCCTCCCTCTGAAATATTAGAGATATGCTGACTCAGAATGTTATGGACAAAATCTAGAGCCACCTTGACAGAGAACTGGGATGAATGAAGAGAAATTACAAAGAGATAGATGTAGTGGTTTTCTGTCTCAACAGAAATTCTCATATAAGTCATTAGGGATTAAATTACAGAACAATGGACCATTAAATATATATAAATTCTAGGCAAAACTCTGGGATTATGTGAAATTGTGTGTTATTTACAGCAATAATTAATAATCTGACTAGTAGGGGCTATGATGTCCTACAAGCCCACATGGTTTTAAAGTCAGTTCATAACTGCAACCAAATACATCTAAAGGTAGGACATGTCCATGTGCTTTCTATCATAGTCAATCCATTACAAATAAATTATTTCCTGGTTGGTAGAGGATTTAAAGCTTAGAGCCTAAGATACAAACTAAGATGAAAGAGTTGTAATTTCAATTAGTACCCATTAGATCTTGGTATAATTAAATGATACTTTCATCAAATAATAGAGATAGAAATATGCAAATTAATACTTGCTGGCCTAACATTGAGCCTTCTTTGAGTTGTATCAAAAGTCTATGTTACTCACCTTCTTGCCTTTCATGAATATGTTGTACACCTTAGACACAATTTTTTGAAAGAGAAAGTTTTGCAATCTCCAGGATGTAGTCTCCAGACAAAAAAGCAAGAGGAGATAAAATAAGCCCAGGACAGCCAACGAAATCAAAAATTTTGCAATCCCATTCTCTCCAAAATTATAGACACTGTTCTTAGTCACTGAGGATAATAAGAGAGACAGCCTTACTTTAAAAACTGATGCAAAGTCTAAGATGATACTACATATTAAGAAATACAGATTCAAAGTGCACTTTAAGTTAGATTCAGAGAAGTATGGAACAGAGGTAGTAATTGTTTTCATATGCTATTTGTCTTATTTGATCTTCCCTGATATTTATAATTAATATGCAAGTTTGCCTGCCAATAATTTTTCTCTACTTTTTACCAGTCTTGACAGGAGATCACCTTACTACATAATAACTGTCAAAGGCTGAGCCTTTGTGAGAAGAATGCTTAGTAATTAAATAAAGCAAGCAAAATAAAGGTATTTATGACATATCTAACCATTGTTGTAGGCCATGCAGAATATCCGTAAAACTCTTGTTTAAATACTTGTTTTAGAGTTTGGGGTTTTATACTCAGGAATAGAGTTGCTGGTTCATATGGTAATTGTATGTTTCGCTTTTTGAGGAACCACCAAACTTTTTCACAGCAGGTGCAACATTTTATATTCCTACCAGAAATAAATGAGAGTAACAATTTCTTCATATCCTCACCAAACTTTTAATACTTTCCATTTTTTTTATTACAGCCATCCAAGTATGTGTGAAGTGGTATGTTTTTTTAGGGAATACATTTGACATGTAACATTGTGTAAGTTTAAGATATAAGCATGTTACTTTGATACATTTATGTATTGTAATGATTGATGATGTAGCAATATTTATCACATTACATCATTACAGTATAATATTATTGCCTATATTCATTATATAGTCATGCATCACTTATTGACAGGGATGTATATATTCTGAGCAATGTGTCATTAAGCAATTTTGTCATTGTGTGAACATCACAGAGTGCACAAACCTAGATGGTATAGTCTACTATATGGTAGAATCTATTGCTCCTAGGATACAAACCTGTACAGCATGCTGCATGAATGCTGCAGGCAGTTGTAACATAATGGTGCACCTACATACAGCCCTATATTAAATGGAGCTTGGAGGACTAGAAGTTGCTTTGGGTGAGTCAGTGAGTCAGTGATGAGTAAGTATAAAGGCCCAGCATATCACTGTACACTCCTTTAGACTTTATAAATGATGTACACTTAGACTATGCTAAATTTATAAAAATTATTCTCTTCCTTTAATAATAAAGTAAACTTAACTTACTATAACTTTTTTATTTTAAACACTAGAGGCCTGGTGCATAAAACTTGTGCACTGGGGGTGGTGTCCCTCAGCTCAGCCCGCACCCTCTCTAATCTGGGACCCCTTTGACATCCCTCTCACAATCCGGGACACTGGCTCCTAACTGCTCGCCTATCTGTCTAATTGGCCCTAACTGCTACTGCCTGCCAGCCTGACTGCCCCATAACTGCTCCCCTGCCAGCCTGATGGCCCCTAACTGCCCACCCCTGCCAGCCTGATGGCTCCCAACTGTCCGCCCCTGCCACCCCGATTGCCCCCAACTGTCCTCCCCTGCCGGCCTGATCACCCCCAACTGCCCTCCCCTGCTGGCCCGATGGCCCCCAACTGCCCTCCCCTGCAG